GTCAATTTGGATACTTGGATTTGGATGATAACTTCATTTTTTCCTTTTTTTTAATGAAAAGGAGGGACGAGTTGAAATACACATTTAATCTACACCTACAATAGATTATATAAAAATTAAGAAAATTAAGAACCTAACCATTTTGTTAGGTTTCAAATTATATATATTATATACAGTATATATATAAATAAAATGTGCAAATTACTTTTTGGAGCCACTGTATGAAGATAATTTTACACAGGAAAAAAGAAGAAGAGGAAAGAAGAAGAAAGCATTTTAATAAAAAAATAAATAAAATCTTGGCAATCTGACCTTTGCCAATGTTTGCATTTACGTGGGACCCATACATAGCAGAAATGTGTTTATATAACCCCCATGTATGTCTGGCGGTGAAAACACAGGTAGGTGCATATAGCACACATGTGGGAGTGTGAAGATGAATGTATCATTTCCCAGAAATCTGTCTCCTCGTACAGGTGCTGTGTGAATCATGTGTGCGTCTCATCCCAGAGACACAGTCAGAGATGACAGATAACACAATGACATCATCAGCTGAGGAGCAGACAACAACACACCACATGAGGTTTCCAGAATCCACCATTCTGACGACTCTACAACCCTTTGATCCAGTTTCACAGCACATGACCTTCGTTCCAGAACCACTAGAACATGTACGAGATATCACCCAAACTTCACTCAAAGCCAGGCCCAGCCTATTAGTACTTCATATTCAACTCAGCATAGAGGTAAACTAGGGAAGGTAGTGCTGCTTAAGTCAGACAGATCAACATATATTTATCCAGCTCTATTCAGGCCAGTCAGCAGATCAGCTTGTTGTCAAGCTTTTTCATTTTCTAAAACGAGCAGCTGACTCATGTGCAGCGCTTTACACAGCTGAGATGTGAAACCGACATATTTACAGTAACCCGCTTAAAACAGGTTTTAAACGTATAGTTAACATCAAAATGACAATTCTGCCAGCATTTACTCACCCTCATGTTATTCCAAACCTGTATGACTTACTTTCCTCTGTGGAAAACACTTGAGTGAAAGTACAGATACTGTTGGTCAAATATTACTCCATTACAAGTAAAAGTTGTAAAGACAGATTTTTACTTAAGTAAAAGTACCGAAGTACTTGCTTTTAAAAGTACTTAAGTACCAAAAGTAAATTTCCTTTTTTATGTTTTTATGTTTTATTGTTGTACGTAATACTTGCAATACTTCTGAAGCAACTTACAATACATTACACCTACTGAATACACTGACTAACTTGTAGTATATTTGAGTTCTGCTTCAGTCTAACACCTTTTGTGTTTTATTAGGAGACGTACAACAGTCCTTCTGTGGCTTTATAGGTAATATTTTCACGTACACAATTGAGCAAAATCAGACAATATTGTGTATAATATATACCACAATATTAATTTCTTATTATTTAATTGTTTTAAATAAATATCACATTTGCAACTGGTTAGTGTTCAAAAAATGCTGGGAAATAACTTCATGTAGCCCCAAGAGTGATTACTGATAAACTGTCTGAAAAAAAGAAAGTCATGTTTTAGAGAAGAAAAAAAATCACCCACTGACTTTCAAAGCTGCTAAAGACTTTCTACTTTGAGGATCTTGATAGAAATGTAGTGGAGTGAAAAGTACAATATTTGTCTTTCAAATGTAGTGAAGTTAAAGTCATAAGTTTCCAGAAAAAATTATACTCAAGTAAAGTACAGATACTCAAAA